AGAGCTATACAAACGTTCTCATAAGCAGGCTGTTAGACTACTTGCAGTCTGACAATTACAACCCAAACTCTCATATCGTTCATAGCAGTAGGATATATGGATGGACTGTGTTTGGGTCTGGGATACATTGGAAGCAGCACTGAGTAGACATGGAGGATTCCAAAGTTCCAGCGCTGTTCATCTGCCATGCACGCTACGACAGTCTGCTTTGTATTAACCAGACTGCGGCCCAGTATACTAGCTCTGCCTGCACATGGCTCTCCAGCCCTCGTGGGCAAGAAAAAGAAAGGCAGATGAGGTAGCAGGAGGCAGCCTCATATAACACACACAACACACATGATATATAAAACTGTATGAAGAACATCTGATTACGTTAACTCTGCCCCTTTTAAATACAACCAGAATCAAATGACGTGGACAAGTTTGTTTCTTCTTGATGTTTAGTATTTTGAAGCCATTTTCTCTTTAGCATGTCAGTCATGCTAAACCATTTTGTGACCTAAAGACCCCCCTCTTTATAGGTTTCACGCAGGTAGATTGATCTGAAAATCAGCACGGGATGGGGTCCTGCGTTCTCCTTTGTTAACCCTGTGGGAGTGGCGACCACTCACTCTGAAGGTTGGGGCAGGAAAAGAAGTGAAAGCGTGGCATCTGTCATCTGTCACTTCTGTACCACGGGGCTATCGTAAACCACGAGGAAGACCCTGCTGCTAAGCAGACTCTTGGGTTACTGGAGGTAATCTCCCCCAGCTGCTCACCTCTGTACCTGAGGCACCTTAGAATTCAATACATAGTTGATCTCCTGGGTGAAAAGATAATCGTCACCATAGCCGGCCTTCATTGTTTGGTGCCAGCGATTCATGCCCTGGGTTTAGGAAGGGTGATCGCTCAGTGCCTCGCTGGTAACCATGCTCTTTCAAAATGATCAAGCTCCTGTCCCAGTCTTATATACTGTGATTCTCTCGATGCCATCTGTTTTGACCCCACCCAGGAAACCCATTCAGCCAACAAGATGACCTCAAAGGACCTCAAGTCCAGCTCCAGGAATAGGCGACCCCAACACCCTCAGGCTCCTTCTCGCTGATTTCTACAGCACTCTCCCTGCTGGACCTCCATCTGGGTGACCTGACTGCTTCCAGTTGATTTGAGGCTTTATTTTTGACTTGGTAATCAGTTCCCTGATAGAGCTAAGTGTTTTTCTGGGGCAAGGAACTCAGCCTTGCATGTTTCAGACTCTATGTCACTGCTCTGGGAGCAAGGGAGAAACAAAACAAAACTAAACAAAATCAAAACCTTTTCCTTGTTCTGATTCGCTAATGTGCTTTGTGCATTTCAAACAAGAGTATGGGAACGGTGATTTCCCCCAAACACATCTGCTCACAGAGCCTTCCTGTATGCAAATGCACATTGATGTCTTTGCAATGTACCTGCTCAGATGTAGTGAGCCAGACAGGATCGCCATTACAAGATGGCGCCGACATCCTGTCTTGTTGGAAATAAACAACTCCATATTTGGCTATGCCTTTGAGAGCTGCGCGTCCCCCGCTTCCTGCATGCGCGGTGGATGAGGATCCTTGAGTCTATCCCGATGCGGTCTGGTGTCAGCTGTTGGTGGCAGCGAATCACAGGGCGACCCATGTGCCATTTCCCTATTCAAGCAGCTGCCTAAGAGCCCTTCATCCCTTCGCTTCATGCTCTCCCTGCCCTTCCCTTCCTGCCCCTTGTTTTCCTGCCCCTCTTGCTTCCTGCTCCCCATCAATCAAGGACACTCCAGTAAAGTGTGATCTGAGTGGAATTCTGATGTGGTGGTTGTTCTTTCTCGCAGGTCGAGAAGTCCTCTGCACTCAGAAAATCATCATTATGAAAATTTTGATAGCTATATGGTTTCTCTATAGTCTAATAACATAAAAAAAAGGTCCTCGTGCCCTGGGGATTCTCTAACATTTCATTCTCCGTGGGCAAACAGTGCGACTGCTCAGAGCTACAGTCCGTTAGTACACCACAGAACAATCACTACATAAAACTCTCTGAGACATTATGTCACCTAGGTCCAGCTCTCTTAAACCACTTTAAGACTGCTATTTGTCCAGGAAACAAGGAAGAGGGAACGGAGAGATGGCCCAGTGGTCAAGAGAGCTTGCTGCTTTTTCAGAGGACCAGAGTTTAGTGCTTGGCACCCATGTCAGGTGACTCACAACTGCCTGCAACTTCAGTTACATGGGACCTAACTCTTCTACTCTCTGCAAACACCTACATCCATCCTACCTTTGCACGAGCATATGCGTGCACATGTGTACACACACACACACACACACACACACACACACACACATCTCTTCTGAAAAACAAAGAAGAACAATGTTAAGGCTAAAAATTTGGGACACTTACTTTAACGAGTCAAGAGCGTCACTGACTGCATTGGCAAAATTGATATCCGTTGGGACGTTTTTATATTCTAGGCAGTAAGTTGGTCTGATACCAAGAATCTCAACTTCACAGCCTATCAAGAAAAAAGAGGAAAAACAGTTATTGTCTCAAATATTTAAAGTAGGGCTATGAGCCTATTCCATAAAACAAACATCAGTCAAAATATTTTTGTACCTTTCCAGAAACTAAAATAATTGATTCCTGATAGGTCACATTGTTAATTGTATTTTTGCTTTACTGGAGTAGTTTCTTAAATGCCATTCCAATGTAATACTGGAGCCCCATGACAGAAACTGCCACAATTGGACAACAGAAACAAAATATAAATTAATTAGTGTACCAAAATGTCTCAATTTTCTTCTCTATATTTTCTGTAACTACCGTCTTCTAGTCTAATGTACCCTTCCTTACTCAAGAGACATGTGAAGGATAGCATCTTGTGGCCAGGGAATTATAAAATAATATTTCACTGTCGTGATATAAAGACTAACTGGACTATAGAGTTGTAACAGCAAGCCAGTTTCACCGAGCGAGCTAAAGCAACGGTTTTGTGCTAGCTTCTTCCAAAAGGCAACGAAAGTCAAAAGCTGGGTGTGAATCTGTTCAAGTTTTCTACCCCAGACTCTTAGACACGGAGACATAGTTGTCCTCAGGAGGGGACACTTAATCAGGATATCAGAACAGAGAGGCGGGGGGGGGGGGGTCAATCTCAGTTTACACTTGTTGAGCAAATATTTATTGGCACTAACTATGAACGAGTGGCTCTGTCCAGGCAGAGTAAACAAACATGAATCAGTCAGGGTTTCCTTCTCAAAGCAGGCCAGAGTGTAGTCTCAGGGGAGAGGGCAAACCTGTGTTGTGTGAGGTCTGAAGTGAAATGCAGCAAGGCTATAGGGGATGGAGGAAGGAGTCGGAGGCAGGGGGAGACTGGGTACCAAGGCAAAGAAAGTAGTGTGAACCAGAGTTCAGGGAACGTCTAAACAGTTAAGAACCATGAAATGCTGGACCAGGGAAACCAGGACTGCAGATGTGGCTCTTGATTACAGCCTGGGGGAAAAAGACTTCCAAGTGGAAGTAAGTAAAAGTGGGAGATGGAGAATGTCGGAGACGAAGACGTCTGCCAGGAAACCGGTTGGCAAGCACTTTGGAGCACATCTGCCAGGTGATGCAAAAGTTAGCAGAGCAGCTCCTAGGAAGACTCCCTCATTAGCATATCGCCATTTGATTGGAATAGTCTGTGGGAGACCCTATGTCTGCCCGAGATCTTGGGATGCTGGAGGCCCAGGCTTAGCTGAGACAAATGAGAGAGGACTAAGAAGTAGGCAGTGCTCCTTCCCTGGACAAGTGTGGTTTCCAGAATAGTCAGAAATGCAAGGGGAACGTTGACCGCTTATTGCCTTGGATACCTGCGTTTTGTCTGCCAACAGTTATTTGTAAATTTTGATTATAGTCTCAAAGTCATTTGTCCTGGACGCAGCCTTTGCTTAGGGCTAGAAACACAGCAGACATCACGTGCCCTTTCTGAGTTCAGCCACTATCTGCAGTGTGGCCAGGTGTCTCTTGTCACATTTCCAGTATGTGGGAATGGGAATTTTGAAGTAAGGAGATCCTGAGCATTCTCTCAGAGATGAACGAATGGCATGGTTTTTGTTCTTGTTAGGTTAGTGCAAACCACAGTTTGGTTTTGATGTATAATCAACAATAATTATATTTGCTAAAATTATCAAGCATGTATTCTCTTGATACTTTCATTTGTTTAAAATTAAGCTGGTCCTGGACTGAAGAGATGGCTGAGTGGTTAAGAGCACTAACTGTTCTTCCAGGGGTTCTAAGTTCAATGCCCAGCAACCACATGGTGGCTCACAACCATCTACAATGAAATCTGCTGCCCTCTTCTGGCCTGTAAACATACATGCAGGCAGAAAACGGTATACATAATAAATAAAATCTTTTAAAAAATTAAGCTGGACTTAACACTGATGTAGTAATATTCTTCATCTAAGAAATTAACTCTTGGCCTAGGTTAAAATAGGATACAAGCAGGGTTGTTGTTTTATTTTTTTTCCTGTTAATTATATCTAGTCTTCTGTAGTAAGTATAGGCAATATGTAGGAAAATAGAGATATTATTACACTGTTACAGAATTTTTTATATTAAAAAGTATGCACATATATCTCGGAGATACTTATGTGTAGGTTTAGTTCCAGACCATCATGATAAGTAAAATATCTCAATAAGGCAAAACACAGGCATTTTTGGATCTCGTTTGCCTACAAAAGTTGCATTGCATCATACTATGGTTGAATTCAGTGTAGCATTGTTTATAAAAGCAGGACTTTCAGCTTAAAACTATATTTCTGAAAATGATCACAATCACATGAAATTTTAGAAAATGGTGCAATGGGTTAAAAACCACAAAAATGAAGTAGCTGTGAACCAGAATATGATGAAGTGTGTGTGCAGGCATGCATGTGCACACACACACACACACACACACACACACACACACACACACACAAATAGTAGGACCATAGTAGCATCTTACAAAAGTCTTTGGGGGTGACAGGAGAATACAGATAAATTCTACCCAAGAGCACAGACTCTACAGTGAGTGTCATGTGATGTATATCAAATAAAACAGAATACTATGGAACAACAAATGATAAAGGGGATGTGTTGTGGGATATTTGTACATTGTGTAAAGAGATATTGCTGTGACTGGTTTAATAGAGAGCTGACTGGCCAATAGCTAGACAGGAGGTGTAGGCGGGACTTCCAAGCAGAGAGAGAGGAAGTGAGAGATGAATTAAGGAGCACAAGGGACACCAGGAGACATGGAGAAGCATGGGTGGTACATGACAGAACATAGATTAATAGAAATGGGTTAATTGAAGTTGTAAGAGCTAGTTAAGAACAAGCCTAAGCTAAGGCCAAGCGTTCATAGTTAAGAATAAATCTCGTGTTGTTAGTTTGGAGCTGGCTGATAGACAGAGAAAGATTCATTAGAGGGATAGGCAAGTCTTACAATAAAAGTAGGAGGACAATGATAGAGCTATTCTATAAAATTGTTCCTTGGTGATATGGGTTCAATGTGAGGTATCCCCACGAAGGCTTATGAATTATTTGGGGAGTTACTAAGGTTTGAGGAGGTCCTGGAACTTCTAGACGGTGAGGTCTAGAAAAAGGAGGTGAATCACTGAGGGCAGGTTCTTAGGGGTCTCTTGTCCTCGCCCCTTCCTGTCCCTTCTCTTTCAGTTGCCAGGAGTTGTGATGCTTTTCTGCCGCATCTTCCCACCACCACCATACAGTTCCCAAGAGCATGGAACCAAGAGGCCATGGACTGAACCCTCAGAAACCACGAGCCATGGTTTCAGTGCCATAAGCTAATGAATAGCACTAAACCATGAAATAGTAAAGTATATTTAAGTCCAAGAAAAATTACATATGTCAAAGTATTTTATTTAAAATGAGTTGTATATTTAAAAATTTTAAATAGGATAATCTAAATCTAAAGTTCTAAATTTCAACAAAACTGGGGTGCGTGCCAGGGAAGAAAGGAAAGTGTTTTGCTTACAGAGAGAGGGAAAGGTTAATTAAGATACATCTTATGCTAGACATTCCTTTAAAAGATACAGACATGCAAAGGAGTGCTGCATGAATAACTACTAAATCACTAAAAGAAAAAAATAAAGCATCAAATTTTAACCAATTATCAAAGTTCATAAAAGTAAAAAAAAAAGAAAAAGAAAAAAGAAGGGAGGATTCAAGAAGTCATAATGACAAATGAGGACAAAAGCAAGGATTTTAGTTTTCTGACAAACATGAAAGGCATGTAAAGCTGGAAGGAGCCACGACTCCACACAGACATGTGTTTAGATTACTGCTTATGTGTCATGGACATGCACACACCGAGGAATCTTGGTGATGTGAGTATAAGGCTTTGACTTTAATGGAAACTGGCTCGAGACACAATGAATAATCTGCCATGATGACTCATAGCTGCAACCCTATACTTGGAAGACTGAAGCAGAAGGGTCAGAGGTTAAATTCAGCCTTGGTGATTGGCTATACAATGTTCGTGGCTAGACTGAGTTACCAGAGGCCCTGGATCAATTACTTAAAAAAAACAAACATACAGATAAAATGAATAAATAGAGAAGATCTATGGAGAATTTGGGTGTTGGTATCAATGGGATGAACTAAATAAATCTGAATGTTTTTATCTTATGAGCATAGGATGTGAATTTTTTAAAGACAACTTTAAGGCAAACTGGGCATATTCTGATCCATAAATAAAATCTCAATAGTTTCCCCCAAAGCAGAAAAGTTCCAAGCACAATGCATACAATCTGACCACAGGTAATAGCATTAGGAATTTAATCATAATAGTTAACTAAAAATAAACCTAACCACTTACAAATTTGAAAGAAAACTGTTATGTAAATGGACACACAGAGGAAATGAAAACTTCTTTGACAGGCTAGTTATTAACAACAGTGAAAATTCCATACTTCACAACTTCACATTTTCACTTAGGCCAGAAGAAAATCAGGAATGTTTCCCTCATTGCTGTAATTTACTGCTCTTAACATGCTTTTCATCAAATGAAAAATAGAAGTAAATAAATCTGGAAATCAGGAGTTGTGCCCAAGAGTCTTTACTAAACTTTTACAGGGCTGAGAGATGGATCAAAGATTAAAATGCTGGCCACGCAAATGCAGACTCCTGAGTTCAGATCCCTAGCCTATGTAACTGCCCGATGGTCAGGGCAACCTACCTTTAATTCAGGTCATCAGAAGTGGAGACAAGGGAGCCCCGGTAAGCTGGCTAGATTAACTAACCATATGGGTGAGCTTTAGGTCCAACTGAGAGACCCTGCCTCAAAGACTAATAAAGTAGAGAGCAATTGAGGGGCCCCTAATTGTAAAAGTACACCAGTTCCATTCCACATTCTACTCCCTATGTGCTAGGAGAACTAGGCTGAAAATTTAAACACATACAAACAGACAGAGACAGACAGACAGAGGGGCAAGGGGAACATCCTAGAAGCAAGAATGCCAATAATGCCCACTT